TTTAATTCCTTGTCTATTTCCAACTTTGAATCAGTAATGTAATGGTACTGATTGCAGTGGGCAAGGATTTTTCTGCTTCTTTTATTACTGATCATGCATACTCTATGTCTCCCTTCTTTTGCTGTGTTTTAATGTTTACTTTCTTTGCAGCAACTTCCTACAGAGCTTTCCAACAGAGGTGGGGCTTATACATTTTTAGTGTGTCTGCTGATCATACTTGTTAATTCATGCTGTTCACCTCAGAAGCTTGTTAAAGTAAATTATGAGCTGTTTTAACTACTAGAAAACACAGCTCAGAGATGTGTGATTATGTGGCAAGAATGTGAGGCTGGAAGCTAAGATGTCCACAGGTCCTGGTTCAAGAATGTTCCAACATCCTCTCACACATCTAACAGCATGTAATACGTAGCAAATAGGAGCTGAGTTCCGCCTTACTCCTCTAGAATATACCACGCCCCTCCAGAGAGTCCACCTTCTTACTAATTCCTATTCCCACTTTTTTATTGCTCTGTTTAATTTTATTTTCCCCATGCATATTTTGGGCCCTGTTGTTTTGGCTACAGAAAAATAGGAGATATACCTGAGTGTTGAAAAAGGAAAGAACAATGGAGTTTCTGGTTCCTGCACTCTTTCTTCCATTCTACTTATCTCTCCCTTGTGATTTCCTTTCCTTCTCCCTCAAGAATCATGAGCTTGCCTCATTCCCTGCTGAGCTATTTTGGGACCCCCTCCCAAGGGCAGTTTTTCTAAATATTTATCAGGTGATAGAGATTTAGACAAGTCTTAGATTCTTGTCATCTTTTCAAAGTAGGCTGGGCCAAAACACAGACACCACAGAGTTTCCAGGATTGCTATTTTATTGTTGTAATGCATAAATAACAGAATTGTGTCCAAGTTTCTATCTCATCTTATACTAAATAAGAGTAAGACAGGGTTATTTTGAGTTTCACATTTCCTTCTGTGTCTGGTCTTTCCAAGACCTTTTTTAATGGCTTGCTTATACCTTTCCTGAGGTCAGATTTAAATTCCTTTATATTACCAAAGATTGTTCTAGGAAGGTATGTACAAAGATAATGATCAGGGTGGCTTCTCCAAATCTCCAAGATACTTATATTATCCATTTAGCGCTATTAGTTTGGACATGTAACCAGGTGTGAAATAAAGGGAGAGATACTAAAATTTAGGTTGCTAATGTTTGATAGGTTAAACAATCTGGACCAAGCAACTGCCATCCAGATATACCAAATCTCCATCATCTAGACTAGTTTTCTTAACCTCAGCAAATGTTGAGGTTAGATGTTGTGTAGGGAATTCTGAGAAATAGAAGTCACTGTCTTAAAATTGCTGAAGTTTAGAAATTCTAATCTAGAATACCAACCCAATATAATCAAAGACTATACTAGCATGGCATTCTAGAAGTTGTAATTCCAACCCACTTCAACTTCAGAGGTATCAGATTGTAAAAGGTTGATTTAAATCAACATTTAGTTTAATATTTTAATTTAAATGATAAAATATATTATTTATATTTCTGATTAACCTTGTATATGTTTTCAATGTCTTTTTATGGGGCAGTTAGAATAAACAGGTTATATTAATTCATTATAAACTATGCAATCTAATACATGTTAATTTGAAAGTATTATTTATTTTAATGAAAGTCTTAAATATGCACATATAAAACTGTAGCCAAATAAGTAATTAAGATATCCCAGTTTAAAAAATGCATTAATAGAATTTTATAAAATAGTAGGTGGCAAACTTAGCTTTAGGAATTTCATTTCCTCATTGGTTTTGCAAACAAGTGAATTTGTCTTCTAAAGTAATGTCCACTATTTATGTGCCAGGATCATTTGAAAAAAATACATATATATAAATATGCAGAAATACATATTCAGAAATAGGTTTGGCTTACTCATTTGCAAATATAGAAACATGTAACTGAATGAATCTATTAAAAGGCTAAATCACATATATTACGGCTGTAATTCTTTATAGATTTTCTTGGAAATAAAGTCCTGAAGTCTACTTGTAGAGATGCACAGGATTATAGTTAAAGTTCCTTGAATAATTTAACAGATTTAATTCTGTATTTCTTTTGTCAAACTTTCAGCCAATTTTGAGCTCCATTTGAGAATCTAAGATGAGATACTACAAAGTGAAAATAGGTCTAATTATTGTTTTAAAAAGATACCAATTCAGGAAGAGAATTCTCAAAATTCTTTAAAGTGAAAACCAAGGAATTAAGGGCGAACTCCATGCTTGATCCCTCCTCTCTCCCAGGCTGGGTGCTTCCCAACAAGTTGCTTCTTATTCTCAAGAAATAGGAACCATTTTAGCTATATGCCCAGTTCATCTTAAGATTGGTCTTCATGAGATAATGCATTTATTTTATCCAGCAAAAGAACCAGGGTGAGCATTTCCAGGAATTTATACACATTGTGTTGTGACTGTGAAAGATAGCCTTCTAATTCTTACTGTTCCTCAATGCCCTACTTAGTCAAAAATGAAACATCCAGATAAAGAACAGGTCTCTTTCAGTGAAATCTCATCTGTGTCTCCCACTGGAGAGCCTTTGAATGCACTGAATCCATATCTATGGCCCTGCTTGATGTTTCCTTCAAAGACACCAGACAAAAAGCACTGTGGTGGATGCAGGCTGTAAACTTGCAAAACTGAAGAACACTAAGGATGCTTTGTCCTTTGGTGCTCTGAGCATAATTAAATGACCAAGATCTGTTGAGGTGATAAAAGCAGCTAAAGTACTTGCATATGAGAATAGAGTCCCTGTCTTTGAGATTGTGCACCGTCAATGGAAGGACATAAAGGAAAAGTTGAGAGTTTGGGATTAGGGATTAGGGAATGTGGTCAATGGCAGGCTGTTGCTTGTTCTTTGACACCACAGTTTGATTGTTTGGTCTGTCAAAATGTGTCAGGTAAGACCCTAGGTAAAAAGAGGCTGAGTTATCAGCAGAATTAGCTACTCCACTTTAGATGAAAGGCTGATAAGAATGTTTTCATCACACTTGAACAAACTGTTGCCACCAGAGATTCATCTGTACTCCATATTGCAAATGACATTAAACTGAAAGTCTTATAACTTAAAACATCTACTCACTTTTCAATTTTTTTGCTTTTTCTGTATCCCTTATTTTTAAATCATCTTTCCTCTTACGATATTCTGAAAAACTCAAATTTGCATATGTTCTTGCTATTTCAGTTAATCATATTAGAAATATCACCCAGCAACACTTGGACTTTTTTCTCATAGACTAACAGGGCTATATGATTTTTCAGAAACATGGGATACTTTAAACTGTAATGCAGTGTCTGATACTTCTGAATGGGATGTAATTGCAAATGCCCACATTCTCTGCAAGCCAGCTAGCTAGAATTGTAAATAATGGTGTGTTATTTTGATTAGGGATATATTGATTTGCATCTCTATTAACTCACAAATCTTTATTGGTGCTTATAAGGAAGTAACCAACTTTGATTTTATTTTCTTTCACAAGGATTAGTTTGTAAATAATATGGTTTAATCTTTAAGCAAAGGCTGAACAACAGAATAAGTCAGAAGTACAACATGTAGATGTTACAGAAACTGTTCATATACAAATGTAAATAAGGTGCTGTTATGAATAATAGGTCCAAGAGTGGGTGTCCATTAAAATATCTATATACTACTAAAACTCTCATATTTGTTTGTTTGTACTGGGCAAAATGGTGCCTCAAAGGGCAACATTTTTTAAACCAATGAGTTAATTTATGAAATGTCTGAAATCCTGAACTTATGATACCCATGGGAATGAAAATTGGAAAAGTTGTAGCCTCTTCAGCACTGCTATGCTACTGCTACTTCAGCTCTGCTGCCACACTGCCTTGGTCAGCCACAGTCATGTGATCTTCATTTCTAATGCTCCCTGACAGCTTCCTGATAGCAAAGTCTTTGCTTATGGGAAGCTCGCAGGGTGAACGTCAATGAGGATGCTGGCAGGTAAGGTTGCAAACTGCTTGAGTAAGTTTACCCCACTAATGAACCATCTCCCAGTTCCTCTGCATTTGTACTACACTGACTACTCATGCACCACTTTGCTTCCTCCCCTGCCTGCCTGGTGGCCTTGGATGTGCAACTTCCTATGGGCTTCATGATCCTGAAGTCAATGAGGAAACCGACAGGAACTGTAAAGTCAGTTGTGATTGCTGAGACTCCCTGCCATCTGCCCACTAGCAAGGGAAATTTGTTGCCAAAAGGAAGCATGAAAATGAATAATCCAATCAGTCCATTCTCTTCTACTTGTTTTCCTCCTACTTTTCTTCTAGTAATGGCAAGTGGAAACACCATCAATAAGTTCTGGGAGCAGAAAGACTCCCTATCCAGTTGCTTATGGAGAACAAAGGTTATGGTGACCAGACACATGGCAATAAGGTGCTTTTGCTAATGGAAATAGTTCCACACCATAGCCTAATAGGAAGTCTTTACAGTCTTTTCTTTGGATCAGGAGTTGAGCTCATAGTTAATAGGCTCAGCTTTTAATTCCCACACAAGTTTTACAATGATTGCAAGGATGCAAGGCTGAGAGTGAAAGGATTTACATATTGCTAGCTCAACTTGTATCATATTGATATAATCATGGAGAAGCTTCCAAATACATGTTGAGGTTGCATTTAATGGCAAGTTTATGTGCATCTTTAGAATGATTCTAATGATTTTTAGATTCTATGCATAAAGTAATTTGAAGTGGCTCCTAAGTGTTTGTGAAAGCATGGTAACCTTTTATCTACTTCTGTTTTTAATTCCCATTAGTTAATGCCCTCTGTCAAATGAATCTGATATATCTCATGGACAAATATTACTACAAACTATTTAGATGGTATGGTTTGTTTGCTAGATGAAAAAATACAGGCTGGAATAATTTGTGAAGTGTACAGTTCATCTCAAAAACAACATTTGCTCTTCATTCCTTTGCTTATTTATTATCTCCTTTGCTTTGTTTTAGGTGAAGTGGATGGCATTTATTATGGCGGTAATCGCTTTGGGTCAATGACAGATTCTGGAACAGCCACACTTAAACCACGTCCAAGAGTCCGCCCTCTGCTCACTTTCTTGCCTCTAGTGAGTATTTGCTGCACGTTACATGCTGTTAGATGGTATCCATCAATTCATTTCAGTTTAAAGATTTCAGCTTAATGTTGTTGCTTTGAAAATAAGACTGGGGGGGATTTGGAGGAGAAGGGGGAAGTGAGAAAATTCCAAAGCTTTCATATATCAGACAGATGTTTATAAGTGAGATTGAATAGATTGGCTTTATGTGAATGAAGGGAATAATTACAATCAGCATGAAATATAAGTCGATGTTTTGGAAACTGAAAAGGGCTTCGGGTCTCATACAGCATACATGCTGAAAATCACAATCTGAAATGGAAATATATTTTGCGTACAGCATGGAAATATATTGATTTAGAACCAGACCAAGTGTATCATTAAGGAGATTTGGAAAGTTCTTTCTTTTTGTTACAGTATGAGAGACACTTTTCATCAAGACTAAAAGGGACACAAATGTTACTATCTCCAGCCCAGTACTACCCTGCTCAGGGTGGTACTATTGCAGTTTCATGCTTATTCACTGCGTTCATGCAATTAATATCTCAGCTTGGCTTGTTCTTAAAGTATTAGAAAGATTGTTGTGCATGGCTTGAGTAGATGTTGCAACTCATTGGATTGCAACAAGAGTTTTCAAACAGGAATGTCTGAAGAACTATTTTGAGCATCAGTTATTATAGCTATCATCTTGCACGACTGGACTAGCATCCTTTCTGCAAATACAATGAAAATTATTGCAGAACATAGGGTTCATAGGAATGTTAAAGGGATCATTATTAGATACATCACCACTTGATAATCTAGTTTTCAAAATAAGCAGATAAATGATGAAAACTGTGGCAAGAAAAAACAAAAAGTAGGAAAATGTGGTTAGGAATGATAGAAGTAAGAATTTTCAAATATATTTTCAGAAGAACATCTTCATCCAGTTATAGGAAAAAAACTTTTATATTCACTAAAATAAGGTTCAGGGAGCTTATTTCTTTATAGTGCAGAAGTGAGAATCTGTGCTTTTAACCTCCCCCCTCCCAATCTATTTATTTATATACACAAACACAGAAACCTGTAATAAAATGTTTTACTTTTTTGTATTTTGATTTTGACTTGTATTGTCTTCAGTGTATTTCATTTTGCTAGAAAACCATTAATATTAGATAGATAAGCCTTTGAACAACTTGGACCAATACATTTAAATCTGGAAACAAGCAGAGATGAAGCAGAGATGTTCTGATACCATGAATGTTAAGGATGAATGTATTTATATTGTAAAAAAAATAACAATTTTTAAGAGAGATTTTACAGTCAGATTTCCCTTTTCAAGTCAGACTGGCACAGCTATCTGACTTTTATTTTATATAGATCTGACAGATCTATATAACTGATACTCACATCTTATTAACCTTGTCACAAAGATGCCTCAGTAACCATTCTTAAAGGACATAACTTTCTGGGGTTGTCATCATTTCACTCCGTACTAACCATGGAGGTGGCTTATGTTCATCATAGTTCTTTGGATGTTAAGATAGTGTTCTTCATTTCCTGATATGAGCCTTATAGTATGAGTGAACTTGGAGGATTGGCTAAAGGAACTTGGGATGTTCATTATGGAGACAAAAAAGACTGAAGAAAGATAAGAAAGCTATGATCAGGGACATAAAGGAAAACTACAGTGGAAATGATCAAGAAGTGCTTTCAATGGCCGTATAAAATAAGGTCAGAAATAATACCTATTATAATAACTATAAATTGTATCCATCTAGATTTCATTTACATACAAATTACTAAGAAATTTGCAATAGCAAAAAAATCTACCTATGAAGGTTGTAGGTTTTAAAGAAAGGCTGGACAGTTTCTTTCATTGTTGCTTTATTTGATTTTCCTGCACATTATAGAGGTCGATCCTTTTGGTCCCTTCTCTGATGATATGGTCAATAATACAGTCAGTGACTCAGATTTGCCTGGCTGTTTTAGACTGTTGAATGTACTGTATGCCTGTTGCCCTCCATTTCCTGGGCAGTTTTTTGCAGGACCATTTTGGTTTTAGGAGCACGAGGGTCTGGTCCTTTATTTCTGGACCCAAAAGCTATCTCTCCTCTCACCTCCTAGCACTTCTACTGAGGGTAGTAGCATGGTAGGGTGGAAAGAGAACTGGGATGGGAAGGAGGAGAGAAGGAAACTGATTGGACATCTGATGGCATGGCAATCTGGTGATGAAAGAGTTTGGTCCCTGCAGCCAGCACCTATGAGCCAGCTTGAGAAGCAGCTGACTAGCACTGTTGGGTTACCATGAAATGGGAAGTCCTACTTCATTACATGGTTCCTATTGCAGCCATCAGACATATGTTATGCTCTCTCTCTCTCTCTCTCTCTCTCTCTCTCTCTCATGAGAAAGTATCACAGTCCCAGATCTGCCACATGGATTGGGCACTCTGGTAAAGAAGCTGGAAAGCACAGGGGAGAATTGCAAAGTGGGATGGAGGGACTTTCCCACTTGCTCTCATAACTGCCACCTCTCTTCCCATCAAGCTTGGGGTTATCCTTTTGGAGAAAGATTTAACGCTATTCCAAAACAGTGCTATTCAAAATCAGTTTGATCCTTGTCCAAAAGGAGCCAGAGTATCAATTCCACACCTGTACAAAAATACTTATATAAAACCAGAGCAAGCCTTAACAAGGCTAAACACTTGCCAAAGCTCACCTCCTGTCCAGATACAATCCATGTCAAAGAAAATGATTGGAGGATGTTCCCCCCCACCCCCCCTAGTGGCTGGTCAGATTTGGTGGAAAACTAAACAGGGGTAGGAGAAACCACCAATTGCTTTCTTTAACTTTTCCCACCTTAAAACTCTAAAGACCACAACCCTCCTTAGCCTTATTACTGAAGCAAAATAGGACTCAGAATTGAAGGTAGTGGAAAAGTCTGCAACCATACTTTATTGCCAGCTGAAGGATTAAAGATATCTACATTAACATCATTGCTGACAGATAATAATAATAATAATAATAATAATAATAATAATAATAATAATAATAATAATAATAATAAAGTCGAAAGGGACCTTGGAGGTCATCTAGCCCAATCCCCTTCTCAGGCAAGAAACCCTATACCATTTCAGACAAATGGCTGTCCAGTCCCTTCTTAAAAACTTCCAGTGTTGGAGCATCATTGCTTCTGGAGGCAGGTTGTTCCACTGGTTAATTGTTCTAACTGTCAGGAAGTTTCTCCTTAATTCTAGGTTGCTTCTCTCCTTGCTTAGTTTCCATATCAGAATATCTGTATTCTAGAAATAGGCTATCTAGAAAGAAAATCTCATGGAAGGTATTGATAGAAATTTAGTAAGTTGTACATTAAGTTAAAGGAAATGATATGGTTCATGTAAATAAATGATTTAATCCACAACCTTTCCCTGTTCATACATAACCACACCAAAAACTTGCTCTGGCAATATCAATTTTTCTACTATGACTGCACGATATTGCCTTTTTTGCATTCCTTGAGTCATCCTTTACTCTACCTAAAGCAATGTTTTCCTCTTTATTCATCATCCAAGAGAAGCCTCAAACACTATAAATCTTTTGGACTTTGTCAATTATTATGTGAGAGAAAATGAGATGACTGTTGTTGATCAGGAAGAGAGGAATCAGCAATATGGACAATGAATTACATGTCAATATCATTTTATGCCAACTCAAGGATGAATAGTGCTAAGCCAGCAGCAGAGAAAACACTTAATTGCAGTTTTCAGTCTTTTTCTGACTTTCATAAACAGACTGTACTTGTGTGCCTAGCCCTAAGTCCAGAGCAGCATGCAAATTTTGCAATGTTCACATAACATACTGTGTCCAAATAAATAAATTATGTTATGGCTTAGCGTGATGGTCTGATTTGCAAAATATAGGTATGCAGATTGGGAGTGATTGATATTAATTAAACTTGAGCGAGATATATGCACAAATGATGCAATTTATGTAATTGAGGCAAATTACAAAATTCACATTTGTATGATGAAGTTACAATATTTATGTGACTTTATAGTCTCCACTGGCCCAGGCACAAATGACCAGGCTCCAATTATCATAATTCAGAGACTTAGCTCTCCGGAGAATTCCATAATGCTGGGAAAGGTGGAAGAAAATAAGAATATAATAACCAACAGCAAAGTGGATGGACTCAATTAGAGTAACAAAGGGAGAATCACTGAAAGACTTGAAGGACCATGTTGGGGACAGATCCTCCTGTAGAATATTTATTTATATGGTTACTAGGAACTGACACCTTGCTCTAATTTTTGACATCAATAATCTCCTGAATTTGCCCACTCTCAGATTTTGATACGCTCTGAACTTTAACCTCATTCACACATCTTTTTCCCTATCTTTCCATAAATAAGACAGGACACATTTGCCTGCCTTACTTGTTGCCTGTGGATCCTGGTGTCTATTCTTTTCTACTCCAACCTCTGTGACTTACAATCAAATGTTTATAACAAAGAAAGAGCATTTGGAAAATTTGGAGGAGCTTCTCTTTGGGGGACAGGAATGGCAGGAAAAAAAATCTGTTTCCTTTTTTTTTTACTACATTTTTTTCAGAGAATTGCTTTTCCCCATGAAAATGTGCACATGCTTCAGAAATATCCATGGATATGTGTAGAGTGAATCAAAAAAAAGTCAAAATGGTGGCTGTGAATCAATGATCAAAGTCCTGACAACTTTTTGTTTGTGTTGCAATCTTATGGGGTCACAGTCACCATCTTGACTGTTTTATGCGCACACATACACACACACACACACACATACACACCAAACAGATTCTCCCAGACTTGGTGTCTTGCATTAAATACAGCTAGGAGCAGCATTCTGAAAAAGAAATGGCTCATAATAAATACTTTTATATTCCTTTCTTCTACTCAAAAGTATTTGGTTACTTTTAATTTTTTTTAAAATGGCACTTCACTATATGTACACATATTTACCTCTCAATTCATGTAATTCTACAAGAGGAAGTATACAGT